CAGAAAAGAGAACCCAGAAAACCAGTAGACCAGTAGACCCACGGGCAGAGCCGGAAAGTGAAACAAGCTCAGCTGAAGTGAAAGAAAAACAGACAACAGTCAACGAAACAATGGCAACAATGCGCTCGAGAAAATTCTGATATTACTGCCAGTACTTTGTTCTCAATTTTGTTCAGCCACGGCTCTCCAGCATATTATTTATTATTATTTTGTATTTTTTATTTTTTGGTAGGGCCATTATATATATTTATGTATATAGTATGTACGTGCAGTTCCACTTGCTTCGCCAACCGATATGCTAATTGAAATGTTAAAACGAGGAATGAAAATTCTCAAGAATCCTTATCGTGCCAGAGGGGAAAACAAAAGAGGCTGTGCTCCAGAAAACTGAATGAAAATGAGCGCGCGGCTTCTCAATAAATTGAATTATCAAGAACGGACTCTTAATGAAATGCATTAACAAGGGAAATACAATGGTTAATTTATTGAGCTGAAATGCGGGCAGCCTCGTTATTATGAGAACTGCAAGAAATGTGATTAAATATAAAGAATTTTGATAAAAATAATATATTTATGGGGAAAAAAGATATATAGTTGATAACTTTTGTTGTTACCAATCATATTTTCTTTATATATATATATAGATGTATAGCCTGATTTATGGCTACTTCACAGTAGAAAGTATCTCACCTTTCCTTCAATTTATAATTTTAAACTTATAACTTAATAGAATGACTTATTTCCTATTCACCCAACGAAACTTAAAAAAGTTAACTTAAAAATTCTTATTTCTTCCAGAATGTTTAATTAAATATAAACAAAATATAAATATTCTTACTCCCCAAGTGATATTCCCGCTATGAACCGACTCCCCCGAAGTATTCCCTTCAGAACTGCGCTGGCCTAAAGTGCCGATGAAGGGGCCGTAAATATTTTATCACAACGCGTGTGTCCGCACATTATTCATTAAAATTTGCTTCATCAACGGCGAGGAATGCCCATCGACCAAAAAAAAAAATATATATATATACAAAAAAAGAGCCGACTCAGAGTCAGAACGCGAAATTGAAGCAAACGAGGCAGCAGTAAAAACTTCCAATTACTCAGGCGCGTCCTTGTCCGCAGCAGTTTCAAGTGGAGTGGGCCCATAAAAGGGATACAGCGTTCAGTACATGTGTATGCATGCATGTAGTTGTGCGGATCTGTGTGCTTTTAATATCCTTTTCTTTGAATAATTCATGCAGAGAGCGAGCTGACCACCACCATTACCCCGAATCTGAATCCGAATCCGAAACTCTTCAGCGGCAATCAGATGGGTTGACGAGGGCTGCCCGCAAGGGGTTGCCATTCATTCATACCAAAGGCAAACTTATTAATTGGCACTTGAGCTGTGGTTACCACAGGCTCCTCGTTATCACCTCTTTCCATCCCCCCTCCCATATGAGCCTGTCCATCCCTTTTCCAAAAAAACCCATATCTCCCATTTGTACAACCCCCAACGTCATTCAACTCTTTTTGAGCGGGCATAATTTAACAGCGTTTCAGAATTTTTTCCCTTCGCGTTTGTCAACTGAATGCTGGCCCAAGGACCCCTTTGGATATTGCTGGTAATCCACTTGGACAACAACAACAACAACAACAGCCCATGGCTGACCATGGGGTCCAAAAACATGCTCCAAAGGGCTCTGAATACCCTGCAGCCCAGCCTGCGAAATTAAATCACTTTGAGTTCCAAATTATTGGGGTATCTGGAAGGGCTTAAGGTGTTCCTTTGAATGCACTTTTTAAAGGCATTTTTCATTAAGTTTTCTATAGATATCTTCCATAACTTAACTTCAAGATGCACTTTACTCCAAACACGTTCTGCTTAATATAATTTATGGCAGGAACTTTCTTAATTTCCATATAAAAGCCACCGCAAATCTCTCTCATTTTGCATAAAATAACTTTTAGGCTAGGAACTACATATTTCCCCGGAGCTCCGGAGACTAGAAGTCTGTGGACTCGTCACTTGTTTCTTGTTTCGCATAGGGTATATGTTAAAATTTGACTGACAGCGCGACACATGAGACAACCTCATATCCTCAGACTCGGGCCGGGCGCCATTGTCACGTTTCAACATTTAAATTAAAATGTTTCGGCTAAAAGGACGGCTGGCAAGCTGCGAAACTTTCCTTGCGTTCGGCGGCGAGTAAAACCGCAGTGAACAAAAAAAAAATCTCAGGCATATCCATTTAAATATGGCCCAGAAAAAAAAATAACAACAAAAAACAGAAAAAAATACCGAGAAATACGCTTAAAAAATGCCTTGGTTGCGCTTTTTTTCGCTGGTCGCTGTCTTTTGCAGTTGGCGGTGCTTGTTTGGCGTTCTGCACTTGAGAGAGCCGCCTGGTTGTTTGTGTTTTTCTTGTTGTTGTTGTTGCTGCTGAGAACGGGTGTGTTTGTGTGTGTGTGTGGGTGGCAAGTGGGTGTGGGCCATCCAACTAGCCAACCATCCAACATCCACTATCCGCCATTGCCAGTGGCAGCTTCGTTTTGACCAGCTCCATTGCCGTCGCCTGCACTCGTCTTCATTTATTCAATGCCGCATCGGCTTTGGGCCACACGGCGTATGCGTGCTCTGCGAAATTCCATACAAGAAACTTTTTCGTTTCGAAAAAGGCAGAAAAAGAAAACAAGAAACACTGAGGTGGCACAAAACAAGCATGTTCGCATTTTTACCAACAGCTTGTTCTTAAAGAGTTCAGCCGGATTTTTCGAGGATTAAACTTGTGTGAGCCAAATTGCTGTCTTTCCAATATACGGCTCTTTGGAATAAGGGGGAATATATTAAAAATGTATGTTAGATTTCATATTTATAACCTTCTAAAACCAATCATCATCCTGGCTTAAGTATAAGTATCTTCCTCCTATCTTATCTCTCTCAAAAATCAATTATTTCCCCTTCACTGGCCTCCATCTCAGTGAACTTTTGCCCTAAACATCATTCAGCCCTTGCTGCAGTGACCCTGTGGAATTATGCACTTTCATTAAGTAACTGCAATCAGGCGAATAAAAATCCTTTCGAGAGCAATCTGTTGGCTTGGCTGGGTGCCTGTGCCTTAACCTTGTGTCTGGCTGAGCGTAGCTTAATGCACTTTTAATTGAGCTGAGCACATCCTGCTAGCGAGGGGAAATTGAAAAGAAGTGTAAATGGAAAATTATAATTAACATTGCCAGATGCTTATGCACCAGCACCATACCCTAGCACCCTTAAACCAGCCACCCAACCACCCAGCTAGCTTGCCATCTCTTTAATTGCAATTTTGCAATGGCTGCAAGGTGAGCACATCTAACATTGCGCATACGCCATGTGTTTTCCATTAGTTGCCATAAATTATTGAAAATCAGGATTTATGCCCAAATTGTCACGTTCATGCGCCCAACTAACACCTAGCCCAGCATTGTAATTGATTAATGCGAGTCTCTTGTTGGCATGTCCATGCCAGGGAAGAAAAAAGTGCCCTGGAAATTTGCATATTTGAAATTATGACAATTACATGATATTGTCGTTGTGCATATGCCGAATCAAGTTTGATAAATAACAACGAACATCGTAATTTTATGCTTAAATTTAAAGGTTATTTTGGATTTATTTAATATCTGCAGAATGTTCTGTTAAGAAGAGAAGAGATTTATGGAAATTTGTTAAACAAAAGGCCTCCCCAAAGACTATTAAAATATTGAATTTTCCAGAGAATTAGATGCTTTTCCTATTGTACCATTCGTTTGGCTTAGTTTTTCTCTTGCACATAATTTGATGGCAACATTTCCATTCGATTCGCATAACATTTGCCTACACATATATTGCATTTCATTCGACAGGCCTCCTGTTTGTAGCAGCTGTCAGCTGTGCCAATTCGAATGCGAATAAATTGTATTTTTCGTAACCAAATTCAATTACCTAATGATTTGTTTTACAAGCAGCAGCTTTTTGTGTTGTTCGTTTCCAGAGAAACACAGAACAGACATCCTCTGGCCAAAGGAATTGCGAGGAGAAAGGAAGCCGAAATTCACACGCACGAACAGTGCTGCAAATTAGTCAGTGGCCATGTCTATCTATATATTTAGTATATTTCTAACCACTCGACAGTGGCCATCAGTTGACCCAACATTTATTTGATTTGGTCAATATGAACGTTGCCAGTCTCGGCCTGCCTCTGATGTTGATTGAGTGCATTTTGTTTCCGAGTTTAAGCCAACTGACTCGCTCCCCCAAACATTGGCTTTCAATAGCAAATGTTGCTTTAGCTAAATAAGTTAATTAATTTGAAAAATATGTGACATGGAAGGCTAACTATCAATCAATTAAAAATCGGAAGAGCCTGAAGCTCAATGAATTTCTCATAAATTTCCTTCATTCATTTTTTCATTTGATTTTTCAATTAATTGCAAATTTAATAAATTTATTACCAGCTAATAATAGTACAAATACGGCAAGCAATTAACTTTATGGTAAATAGATTATGGCTTATTATGTCTGAGCAATTTTACGGTTTATGGCCTAATGAAAGGCGAATGATAAGTTTGTAGCTTTCTTAGAACTTACTATTTCCCTGCCACCCGATTAATTGATTGAGATAACAGGCTAACTGAAACTGTTTTATGGTAAAGTTCCTTAACTAACATTCCATGGCAAATGACTTTTAGTCAAATTAGAGCAAGTATTTAGCACAGAAATGGCAAATCCATGTGTTTCACATCGATAATTACGTGTCCGAATTAACGAAAGGAGATTACCCATGATGCGATCGGTTGAAAACTGAAGTGGCTTTCAGAAGTTGTTGACGTTATCGGCAGTTTAGCATTGATTGGGTTTGTATTCGGTTCTTAACTTTGTGATATTTACGGTTTCATTTATAATCGGCGGTCATAAAAAAAACGTACGTAATATAGACGATAAGTTGGGCATATAAGAAGGCATGACGCCTGTCCCAAATTTGGCATTACGCGCAGTGAAACGTCGCGATGTGGAGCAATCGCTGCTCAATTTTTATACTGGCGCTGCTGGTCGCCAGCAATGCGGGAAAAGTATCCGGACGATTGCCAAGAATCCTGCCGGAAGCCTTGGCCGAAGGCGATGAAGGTGTTCCAGTGCGCGGAGATTGTGAATTTTTGGTCAACGGTGACCTGACTGACCCCGCACCGCTTTTCTCGCGACACAGTTCCTACGAGATTATAGTGCCAGATCCCACGGACACAGTGCGTTTGGTTAATGGAGAACTTTTGGATATGTTCTGCCCGGGTGTGGGCTTTGCAGCCCCATTCGCGAATCGATCCCAGGTGACGGCCACGTGTCTGCAGAACAAGTACTTCCTGGTCGATGATCTCATCTATCCGTTTGCCGACTTCTCCTGTACCAGTTGGCCCATATTCAACGCCCTTCGAACGGGCAAGGATTGTAATGGAGGCACGGATCTTGTCCAGGTGGGCTTCGAAGTGGAGGATGGCGGATTCCTGCAGTCCTACGAACTTTGTCACGATGCCGAGGCGGAAGCTACGCGATATGTACATCATGTGCTCTACCCATCGAGCTACGATTATCAGCATGGAGTGGCGCGACCAGGCTTTATCGAACTTGATTTCTATGGCGGAAGGGATGTGAATACGAAGTACACTCAAGTACAGCAGAACATCACTATCAGCAACATACTCGGAATGGATGCCTCGCCATATTTCAATTACAGTGATGATCGCATTTTGGCTCGTGGCCATATGATTGCCAAAACGGATCAGATCTTTGGTGCAGCTCAGCACTCGACCTTCCTGTTCATTAATGTGGCACCTCAGTGGCAGACCTTCAACGGCGGCAACTGGGAGAAAGTGGAGACCAGTGTTCGAAAGTTCGTGGCCGATCGTAATATCACCACTGATTGCTATACCGGCACTTGGGGTGTGTCCACCCTTCCCGATGTGGATGGCGTCGAGAGGGAGCTGTATCTGGACTTCGATGAGAACAACAATGGCTTGATTCCTGTTCCGAAAATCTATTACCGCGTTGTCATCGATCGGGAGACTCGCGAAGGCATTGTCCTTATTGGCATTAACAATCCTTACTTGACGCTCGAGCAAATCCTAAAGGATTACATTCTGTGCCAGGACATTGGCCATCGGCTTAGCTGGCTGACCTGGTACAAGGAGGATCTGCACGAGGGTTATTCTTATGCCTGCACCGTGGAGGACTTTATCGAAGTGGTCACGGACTTGCCTCTGGAAGATCTACACACAAATGGCGTTCTTGGACTAGATGATGAGACGACCACTGTTGCGCCTTCTTCTACTACTGAAGAGCCAACAACATCTACGACCACTGGAGTGTCATCAACCACTGAACCTGCAACTACATCAAGTTCCACAACTACTGAAGAGCCAAGCACATCTACTGCTTCATCCACCACTGAGCAACCTTCGTCTACAACTGAACCCACCACTGAACCAAGTTCTTCCACTACCTCGGAACCGACCTCAACTACTGTTTCCTCCACTGAAGAACCAAGTTCATCCAGCACTTTGGAACCAACTACTTCTTCATCTACAGTAGAACCAAGTTCATCCAGCACTTTGGAACCAACAACTTCTTCATCTACAGTAGAACCTAGTTCCTCTACCACTTCAGAACCAACTACTTCTTCATCTACAGTAGAACCTAGTTCCTCCACCACTTCAGAACCAACTACATCTTCAACCACAGTAGAACCTTCTTCATCTTCTTCGGCATCTCCTCCGGTGACCACCCCCTCACCCATCGTAAGTCCCTGTACCTTCAACATAAATGGTGGCCTCAAGGACCCCGCTCCACTTCTAACGCCGCAAGGAGCTCTTAGCTGGCTTCTGCCCGATGAAAATGGTACCTACACAGTGGAAGAGGGATCTGCCATTGATCTGCATTGTACTGGAGCTCTGGCCTCACCTTTCAATAGGTATACAGCTCTGACTGCTCGTTGTGTTGCTGATCAACTCTACGAGGCTGAGGGAGAGCAGGTTAATATACGAGGATTCGTCTGTCAGAGTTGGCCCACCTATGTGGCACTTCGATCTGGAGAAGCCTGCGAGGGTGGTACGGATCTGGTGCAGATTGGCTTCGATGTGGCCGCTGGTTTCCTTAGCCATGTGGAGCTCTGCTACGATCAGCAGGAACAGATCTCGAGATATGCTCGCTATGAACTGACACCGGCTAATGTGGCCTATCAGAGAGGAGTTGCCCAACCTGGTTATCTCCGATCTGATTTCTATACAGGAGAAGATGTCAATGTTCTGTATGGTCAATCCCATCAGTTGGAGGCATTTAATACAGCTCTGGGTGTGGATGCCAGTCAGTATTTCGACAGCTCTAAAGATCTCTATCTGACGCGAGGACAACTGGCTGCCCGTCTTGATTTTGTCCATAGTTCAGCCCAGAGAGCCACCCACTTCTATATCAATGCAGTTCCTCAATGGAGAAGCGTCAATATTGGTAATTGGCTGGCAGTGGAAACCAGCTTACGGCAATTTGTGGCGGACGAGGCACTCAATGTGAGTGTCCATTCAGGCAGCTATGATGTTTCAACTCTACCCAATTCCCAAGGAATCCAGACTCCTCTGTACCTCAATGCTGAAACCAAACAGCTACCCGTAGCTAAGATACTCTATCGCATAGTTATCGATCAGGAAAGTCGCAAGGGTATTGTCTTGGTTGTGGTTAACAACCCACACATAACCCTGGCAGAGACTCTGCAGGATTATGTGATTTGTGAGGATATTGGAGCACAGTTGGATTGGTTGGACTGGGACAAGACGGACTTGCAGAAGGGTTACTCCTATGCCTGCTCTGTTGAAGATTTCATCGAAGTGGTTAAGGACCTGCCCACGGACCAGCTGGAGACTACTGGCATTCTTGGTCTGAGCCAGAGTTTGGAAAATGAGGTGTGTTCCTTTCAAGTGAACGGAGATCTCAAGGATCCAGCTCCATTGTTTGTGGTGAGAACTGAGTTGGGTCATGCTAGGTACCTAGAACCGGACCATGAAGGTGTAGTCCAGCTGAAACATGGAGAAGCTTTGGAGTTCCACTGCATCAAGTCCTTCACAGGATTATTCTCTGGCTATACCTTCGTGAATTCAACCTGCTGGCAGCAGAAGACATTCCTGGCCATGGGCGGCTTATATGATCTGCAGGACTTTGTCTGCACCTCCTGGCCAACCTACACAGCTCGTCGGACTAGTCGTCCTTGTAATGGAGGTACTGATCTTCTCGAAGTGGGCTTCCAGCTCTCCGACTCCACATTCGATGACTTCCTGCAGACCTACGATGTCTGTCATAATGAACTGTCGGAGGTAACGCGCTATGTCCATCATGTTCTGCATCCGGGTAGTGCCCAATATCAGAGATCTGTGTCCAGGCCTAGCTTTATTCCTGGCGACTTTTACGGCGGCAAGGATGTGAATACTCTGTATACCCAAATCCAACAAAATATCACGATTTCGGAGATCCTGGGCATGGATGCCTCGCCCTACTTTAATATTAGTGGCAATGTCTACTTGGCTCGCGGTCACATGTCCGCCAAAACCGACTTTGTCTTTGGGGCAGCTCAGCAGGCCTCCTTCTTCTTTGTGAATGTGGCACCTCAGTGGCAGACATTCAATGGCGGAAACTGGGAACGAGTCGAGGATAGTGTGAGGAAGTTCGTGGCCGATGAAAATATCACTGCAGATTGCTATACGGGAACTTGGGGTGTGTCCACCCTTCCCGATGTGGATGGCGTCGAGAGGGAGCTGTATCTGGACTTCGATGAGAACAACAATGGCTTGATCCCAGTGCCCAAGCTGTACTACCGAGTGGTAATCGATCGCGAGAGCAGGAAGGGCATCGTTCTACTGGGAGTTAACAATCCCCATGCTGATCTGGAGCAGATCGAAAAGGACTATATCATCTGCAACGATATTGGTGAGCAGCTAAGTTGGGTCAGCTGGACCAAGGAGGACCTGAAGAAGGGCTATTCATATGCCTGTACGGTGGAAGACTTTACGGCTGTGGTTAAGGACCTGCCACTTGATGACCTTCTGGTTGATGGAGTGCTGGGCATTTAAGGCTAGATTTTGTGTGTCAACAAAGTCCAAATAATACGAATTTCTTAATTTAAAACCAATAAAAAACAAGTTACCCAATCGCCAAGTTGTTTTTCTGCGAGGGAAAGCCCAAGCTAAAGGCGCTAGAAGCACGTTTAAATTTAGTTCTTATGAGCCATAAAACTGAGAAATCACGTTTCGTTTTTTGTTCCTTTTTGGATTTTATTGCATGTTGGACATCTATTGATAAGAAGTATGGTTATCAAATGCTTGGCGTTATCGTTTATGGCCGGAGCCGAGCTATTTATTTACCCTGCCATTGGACTATTTGCTCACGTGCCGCACGTTTTCCAGTGTCGGTCTCGTTGGCTTTTCCTTCTGCTGTTCCAGTGGCCCAAAGGGCAGTGCCATGGCCTGAATCGAAGTCCCCATGGCAGTGACTTTCACATTACTTATCAACGCAAGGGAATTACCTTGTATTACTTGTGCGATTTCTTTTGTTTATCTTATCGTCCCACAGCGTATTAAGTATACGCCTGCTGGGTTAATGATTATAATGGACTTTTTTTCAGGAGGTAAACAAAAGACATAGAACAAGGGAGATAGAACTCTACACGCATGTCTTGATTTATATTTGTCGAGTAATCATTCAAGTACTTCAGCTTAACTCTGCCTTTTGGTTTAATTAATCAGTAACATCAAGGCTTCAAATTTATATTAATTTATTAGTCACTGCTTGTTAATGCCTTGAACTTTGTGGAGTTCAAAAAACGTTTGATGGACTACATTTTGTAACCTAAAGCTAAAATGTTAATATTAATAATAATAATACTTAACTTTTAATTAGAACAATTTAATGAACTTTTAGCTTTATTAAAAAGAGTCAATGTTTATATTTAATTTAGCAAATACCAATTATTGCAGATTTTCAAGCATAAACTTTGAGCCTATATAAATTAGAGGGCTTTTTTGGTGAAGAGTTTAGTTGATTTCACAATTTTTAAACCACAACTGGAAAGCAATGGAATATTTTGGAATATATTTAATACTAGCCACAGCAGTCCTTGCCCAGGAATACAGAAGTAAGTCAGTGAATGAGGATAAAGGAAGCTTATAATAAACATTCTCACTACCGGAACAGAATTTGGCCTAAACTGTGAGGATATAGCCTGCAAGTCCGGCCAAAAGTGCATCATATCCAGAGTTCCCTGCAACAGTCCACACCAACGAGAGGGAGAGCAATGTGGAACGTATCCGGAATGCGAAACAGGTTCGTCGGAGTTTTTGTTTTATTTTCCATTGCGAATTCATCGTTCATTCACACTGAAATCTGGCTCTCTTAATCTGGCTCTGATCCATTTCAGATCAGCTGGCCAGCGATTTCTCCATCGACACCACACTGACCATCGCCAACACCCGCAGCAGCATCATCATACCCAGCACAGTCACGAATCGTAATCGGACTTATAGGGATAATGAGATTGAACTGCTGACCGATTTCAGTAATGTCGATAAATTTGCCACCCATGCTGGGCAACGGCAGGCCAATGTTTTGGTTATTGTCCAGGATGGTTCCCAGCAACCACAACAACTAAATCCTTGGCTGAATCGAGGACAAAGTACCCCTCCATGTACAGTCAATCCCCTCTATCCGTATTCCTGTAATTATCCAGGTTATGCTCCAAATTCGGGTTCGGGTTTATCTTCTTACCCGCAGGCCAGATCGCCCAGGGTGCCACAGTTAGTTCCGCCCACTCCGCCTTGCTATTACAATTGCTATCCCATGGTTAGGTCGAGTCCATACGGTCAATATGGCTATCCTCTTGCTAGATCAGCCAATCCCTCATCCACAAATAATTATTTAATCTATCTAACATTAGCTGGCTAGGAATTAGAGGACACATAAGACTTTAGGTTATCCCAAAATTATGTAGAGAATAAAAACTTATTAATGATGGAATCAAAATGGGCTTTTTTCTATATACTCACCAGATCTGCTACGCTTTCGGCGATCTCCTCAAATGCCATATCAGCCTGTGGGAGTGCCAGCTCCAATGCCACCTGGCTATCCACCTCCACGTCCATTTCCTATGCAGAAGCAGCAACGTCAAGCTGTCCCACAGTATGCGCTTCCACCTCCTCAACCCAATCCGCAATATGCAGCTCAATATCAGGCCATTAACCAATACGCCATGCAAGGACAAGGCGACCCAGCTAATCCTCAACTCCTCTTCTCAGTTGGGATGTCCTATCCATCGTATATGAACTATTACAGCAGTTCTGCTGGAAATCCTTCGACATCTTTCTACAGTCCTTACTTACCAAATTATAACTATTATTATTATAATGTAAACTTACCATTCTTGGGGGGATCTTAGGAAGAAATGTAATCTGAAGGACGCCTATTTTTGAGACACAACTTCATTTCCTGTCCATAACTACCAAATTTATCAATAAACTTAATATTTCCCAAAAACTTTCCCTTTATTTGTCAGCTTTTCCTGGAAAAATGTTAGCCGATTCCAAGAAAGATTCTGAGATATCATTTTCCCCTGTTCACAATCGATCGACTCGTCAGATTCCCATGTCACCAATGCCCGGACCGATGCCTATGCCTGGTCCAGTTCCCATGAATGTACCAGGTCCTGGTCGTGGGTATTATCCCCAGTATATGGGACAACCTTACATGGGACAAGGCATGCCGATGGCTACACCCATTCAAGGTCCGATGGGCATGATGCCAATGATGCAGCAGGGTGGACCCGGAATGCCAATGGGAGGTGGAGCTGTGGGTGGAACCAGCATTATTGTGGAACCTTTGGTAATACTGCCAATGGGCATTGGTGGAGCAACTGGTACTGGAGCTAATCCCAATCAGTATTACGGAGCAAATGGTGCATATCCCACTTACAGCAACTACAATCCCTACAATGCGTACACCACAGAACGGCCTAACTATGACTACAACAATTATAACAATAATAATAATAATAACTATAATAATTACAACAATAATACTGGCAATAATAATTACAACGATTACAACGGTTAAAGAATTTGTTTACTGCAAAGTGAAATAAAATGTGCGTTTAAACTATTAAATTGATTGCTGAAATTTAATTAGCTTAATGAAACGCGGAGGCTGGAAGAGTTTAAAAGCTCTCTATTGTTAACGAATCACAATGTTTATGGATCTCTATGTGTTTATTTTATTTATTTTAAAGCACCAAAAGATCAAGTGTGAGTAAAATGTCAGAAATAATTAATGATCTTTATCAAGAAAGATGTAAGCAATAATTTATTTAAGAATAAGAGCATGAGATAAATCTCTTCTTTTATTTAACTTAAAAACAAAGTTGACATAAAAAAGAACTGATTATAACCTAGACCTGAATCTATATAAAGAAATCGGAAGTACTTTTACACAAGATAAAACAAATAAAAGCTAAGAGAGTGTTAAATATTATCACTGCCTTATTTTCTCTGAGAGTATCTTCTTACAAATCTCACACAGCTGAGGAAAAGAGAGAGAGGGTGTGAGAGAGAGTGTGAGAGTGAGAGAGAGAGGAGAAGTGAAAATCAAGAGCACCAGCTGAGACTATAAAAGCACCTGCTCCCCCAGCCAATTCTTCAGTCGGCGGTTGGTCAGCAACCGCGTCGGTTGGGTTCCGAGTGAAATGTACGAATTCCAATTTTTTGGCCTGATTTTGGTGATCGTGATTCTGAGAGAGATTCGGGCACGTGAGGCTATCAGCTTGATTCCAGATGTGGGTCAAATCATCAAAGACCTCGATGGACTGCACATCGATGGAGCAACATACGAAAGGGGTAAGTGAACTTGAAAGTTAATAATATTATACTTAAGCAGATCTGATTTGGCTTTCACTAAGCTGTAGAATTCTCTTCCGTAGTATTTTAAACAAAGAAACAAACTTCGCGACTTGTTAGCCAAACAGCAAAACACCTGTTTTAATAAGTCAAAGCTGCTAATATAATTTTGTTACAGTAAAAGCTGAAACTAAAAGTATTTTCTTTTACAAACAAACAACTGAAGTTAAATATGGTAATAACACAGTTTGACCTTTCGTATGTACACTTCCTCTTAAACTTTGTTGCTTAATAATTTGTATTTTTCAAATGTAAAAGTGAATCATTTATTACTTATTTATATTGCTCAAGATTAATCTTTATCATCATTGTCTTTATAAAATCTAATATTAAATAGTAATTAAGGTTTAGTACAAGATTTACTAAGTCTATCAACCACCGGAAGGTATCAACAATGATTATATTTTGTCGCCAAAAAGTATACCAACGAAATTCAGCCAACACCTTAACACATAGCTTCCCAATTTCAGGTGCTCCCTGCAGATTGGATGTGCAAAAGGATCTGCCACGTCCGGACCAAGTTCAGCCACTATACCTTCGCCCCGGCACGAATCTCTACTGGCTACCGAACGCTGATGGACAGCTAGAGATACCCCACGGTGCCAGCATCGAGCTGTACTGCAGCCATCCGTTTTCCCCAGTGCTTGGAGAGTCCTTGGATGAGGAACTTCGTTCGCTTCGGGTGAAGTGTGTTCAGGATACCACCTTCGAGTGGACAGGGATGAAAATCAAATTCCGCGACTTTGTCTGCAGTCACTCCATACCCTACACAGTGGAACGTTTGGACACACCTTGTGGGGATGTCACCTCGAGTCCGCCAACGTCGTACTTGTATCGCGTGGGCTACGACACCGGAGATGGCAGATTTGTGGCCACCATGGAGCTATGCCATGACCCAGTTCACCTGCGCACCCACTACGCCCGACATCAGCTGACACCGGCCAATGTGCACTTTCAGAAAAACGTAAAACGCCTGAAGTTCAGCACCGCTGGCCATTTCACGGGCTTTGACATGACCGGGATTTATTCGCACAAGAGGCAAGAGAACGTAATGGCCCCTGGTCTCATAGACGTCAAGAGTGGTTTGTTTCTGGCCCGCGGACATCTGGCGGCCAAGGCGGATCTGATCTATGCCAGTCAGCAGAGAAGCAGCTTTAACTACATGAACGTTGCGCCGCAATGGCAGAGTTTCAATGGGGGTCAGTGGGCCGTCCTAGAGGATTCCACCCGTCGATATGTGTCCAGTTCTGGGATCTCGGCCAGTGTCTATACGGGCATCTATGGGGAAATGAAGGTGGCTGGCAGCAAAAGCCTTCACATGACCACCGATGCCAATAACAACGGTGTAATGGCCGTTCCCCAGCTTTTCTATCGCGTCCTCATCGACAATGGAAATTCGACCCGCGGAATCGCTTTGCTGGGTGTCAACAATCCATATGCCACCCTCGCCCAGATTCACGAGTCCTATATCATTTGTGATCCCGTCGAGGACCAGGTGAAATGGCTGAGCTGGCTACGCAAAGGACAAGCCAAGGGTAACCCGAAGAAGGGCTATCTATATGCCTGTTCTGTGGCGGATTTGGCCCGGGTTGTCGAACAGTTGCCACGCCCCCTTCTCTATGTGGATGAGCTGCTGACATAAATGCGGGCGTTTGCGGTTTGGGCTTAGGTTTACTTTTAAGTGAGTGCAATAAAGACTGATTGGATTGTGGGTCAGAACTTTAATTAGTAAAAGAACCAACTTTTTTTTTCAACTCCAATCCTTCATAATCGATCCTATATCTCATATTTTAAGATTCAAATTGAATCCAAACCAAAGCCATCTTCAGATTTCCCAAGTCTAACAAGTTAATTTCCATGAAGGAGTTGTCCTGGCTCATTCTTTTACCATCCATCCATGTGCCAGTTTCATGTGTGCTCCGATTATTAACGCTCGTGTGAGCTTCACGCCATCAAAATCAAATGGGACATCGTGTTTGTGTGTGTGTGGTCATGTCGGGTAGGGAAGGCGGGGGCCACACCCACTCTCGAATCGGAAATGCTATACCCTCGTTATGGGTTTGCCTTGTTGGCGGCAGAGCAAAATCGGTGGAAGAAACGAGGATATCAAATACGGCTCGGCTGCATTACCTTCATGCCGTTCACAAAACACAATTTGTTCCACAACATTGATTTAATCCTTTTTCTTCTGGGCCACGCACACAAATGCTCATTTATATATATACGCAAACACACACACACACACACACGACACAAAAAGGCAGTCGTGAAGAATTTTCTTAAATTTTCCGCTGGGTTTTTTCATGGCATTTCCCGTCGTGAAGCTGTGTCCTTGGCATTATCATGAATATTTCTTCCCTCCTCGCCATTCCATTCTTTGCTTTCGATACATTTCCATTTGCTGATTTGAAGCGCACTTTCCACTCTGCTCCCCAACTCGCTTCCGCTTTTCCGATTTTCCGTTCCGTTTTCCGCTCGCTTAGGTCAGAGTCGACGCTTTGGAAAGGGGGCAAGCCGAAATTATGTTTTTATGCTACGTTGTGCGGTAAGCAATATTTGCTTTGCTCAAGTATCCCTTACAGACTGTTGGCCAGTAATCATCAAATGGGCTCACAATCTTGGCCAATTTCACTCGTTTGGGCATCAAGGAAAAACAGGCTACGAAAATTATAAGAAAAGCCTTATGTTTTAGGGACACAATAACCACAAGATGTTAGATAAACCTATTTTCAAGGCCTTTTCTTTTTAAAGCTTATTACTTTTTTTGTATTTTTGATAAGGGGTAACATTATCTCTTTTTACAAGAAAAACGGCCAGCAATTGAATTTTCCGGGTTTTCCCATTCATAGAGAAGATAAACTTCATAACTTTAACTTATCAAAGTCGATGTATAGCTCCATGTGAAGAAGGACAACTTATTTTTGCGATCATGAAAGACCAGCCAAAGCTTTAGTTAAAGGCCAAAATGGTCAAGGAGTATGGGCTTTTACATCAGGCAAAACTTTAAAAAATTAGTCATTTTATACAAATTATATAACTAATATGAATTTTTACGTTATCAATGGCAATTTTGATAAAATTTTTATAATTAATTTTAACGAGAAATTCAAATTTTAACGACAATTTTTGAAAAATTTGTGTATTAAAAAATCGACGGAAAATTTGAATTTTAACAGAATAGTAACATTTGAATGTTAACGACTATGTAAATATGAATTTCTAATGTTAACGGATATGTTATGTTAACTTACTGTTAATCGAAATTTTTTGAATTTCGAGGTACTTATAACTCCCAACTGGTATTAGTCCATTTGTACACGACTAGGGCTCTGCTGGCCACCACTAATCAGTCAAGTCATTTCAAAGTGTATGCGTGTGTGTGCAAGTTAAAGTGTAAACAAGCGATATAATGAAACACCAGTACATTGGTGGTACGTGGACCCCAGGCGGATGCAGTGCACCATGGATGTTTTCCGGAAATACGTTTTCTGGAATTCTAGTTACGTGGAAGCTGGATATATAAGACGATACCTATAGCCCCGAAAATTTACTACGCCGAGCAGCAGATCAAGGTAAGTGGCCATGTTTTAATTTTTTATTGCATAAGCCTAGGGGCATATTTGCCTCGCATTGGCAATGATCTTCCTTATCTGATCTTCTAAAATAAGTTAAGTTAAGTTTGTCATACTGCGATCTCTCTTAGTCCGTCCAGTTATGGTTACCAGCTGCCCACTGCTTTTATTGTTCTTTTTTTTGGTCTACTGCCCCTGGGATTTTATGGACCAGCCACTCGGAGATACTTTGCTTGTTGGGAATAAATCTCTCTACTCTACATCTCTGCCCTGGAATCCGAGGCCTTCATCATCCGAAGCCATATCTCGAAAGTATTCCAAATGTAAGATATTTATCTTTTATTTTAATGCCACCATACGATAGTTTTATATTGAAAGAAGAATCAAGACTAGTTGACAGGAATATCAGTAATGTATATAGCTCAGTGGTATGTATTGCTCTGATCTTGGCTTAAAGCCTCCAATCATTTATATTAATGTTATTTAAAACCTCCTAAAAATGCAACAAAATAACCAATTAAAAACTGATTTCTATGCAAATTAATTTCCACCCTCAAAGAAAACAATAAAAACTTGAAACTTTTCAGAAAATTCTCTGGAAATTGAATGCTTTTCTTTTTGCTAGCTGCCAAGCATTTGTTACAATTGTATACCGCTTAAGGATACAGAATGGAGTGCAGTACGAAGTCCAAAGTCCAGACGACTTTCCTTTAGTGGCAATAACATTTCCCTTAGAATTTTCCCAAATAAAAAAAAAAATAACAAACAACAAATTGGTTTGTTGTTGTTTGTGTCGTTGCTTTCGCTGACTTGATGAAAGTTTATCTGCTCCATGGAGATTGTGAGCTGGCGGCCAAAAAGGAGCTGCAAGGACACAACCGAGCAAAGGCAAAAAAGTCGAATAATTGAACGCACTTCACGCAGATGTTGTCGGGATTGTTTTTTATGTCATTGCCGGTGGTGGTGGAGGTGGTGGTGTTGGTGGTGGTGGTGGCCAGAAGGATATGTTGTGTGTCCTGTGGCCTCCAGCGGAAATTATAATTTATATTTGGGTTTTCGCTCGGCCTCTGTGTATATTTTAATATTGCCACCTCTTGGTTGTAGGCCAGCTTCAGCCGGCTTCTTTTTTATTTTGATTAAAATGCATATTAAATATTTGGCAAGCAAACAAAAAAAAAAAAAAAAATATAAAAACAACTGAAATGTATCAAATAAAATGATAAAAAGAAAAAATACTCAGCAATATACATAAAAAATATAATATAAATAATTTCCTGCTACCATCTGAATTTATTTCCCGCTGTGGGTCTTGCTTCCTTCCGTCCTGGCGATAAACTATATACATACCCAACAAATATATATACATTTTGAGCTACGATCTGACCCGAACTTGCTGCAAATCCTTCGCCACGCATGCAGGGGCATAAAAAAATAAACAAACAATGAAAATGTTCCCCTGCTTTTGGGTTTATTTACATGTGCGTAAAGGGCATTGGATGAGATTGGGGACACACACAGAGAGAACCTTCAGGACCTACAGGAAGCCGTAAACGTTTTGATTTATATTGGAAATTGAGGTTCCCTTTTTTCTCTTTGACCGCCCCAATTTGGGGCTTTGTTTCTTTAATCGATATGTGATGAAGGGGCGGCCAAGTTTATTTTAGATTAATGCAAAAATAAACAAAGCAATAAGCAATAATTTAAAACGAATTATTTGTTGTACAAAACTGTCTTTCCTTTAAAAGCATTTCTTTCTTAGTTCGCTCACTTGAATTGGATTTTGATATCCTCAATTTGAGCAACAATTTCGTTCATTTTGACCAGCTTTTCATTTTTGGTCTGGCATAAAAAGCGAAACAACGAGCAGAAGGGAATAAAGTACGTGCTCTCAATTCAAATGAAATAAGAGGAAAATATGAAAATTGGAGAATGCAGGAATGCAAAGTGGATAGTGGAGGGCCAAGCGAATGGAGGGCATGGAGTGAGGAAATTCCGTTTCATTTTACTGGAAATTACTGTGGAGAATGTTTCCACAGCAAGACAAGACGACGTTGACATCCAATATCCTTATTGTTGGCCAGCGGAATTTATGGCTAACAAAGTCGTTAAGTAGGCTAAAGTGTGTGGCTGGCTGTGTGGAATCTGCAACGGCAAACGGCAACTGCAAGTGAGTGGAAAATGGCCAAGTCAGGGCCGCACCAAGTCATCGCAACTTGAAGCTAATGAGGTCATCAACGTCCCCTCTGGCCAGTGGCCACAAAATCCCGACCGCATCTGCATGCATCTACAACATCACTGACGTGGTTTGCGAAATTGAATTTTGAGTACTGCCAAAGTGCGGCCAGGTAGTACCTGATTGAGGTGTTTGATTAATGGCTGAACTGGGCTCTATCCCGTTCCGAAACTTGTTATTTGGCCCCCCAACTAGCCACTAGATAACCAGAGATCTGATTTCCATTCCGATTACAGGACGAGAACTTCATTTAGGATTGCAATAAATTGGAACTTCAGTCGTAGCTTTCTCTAGTTTAATCCGCTTAGCTTTCTCTTTCAAAGTATTTAAGACTTTGATGGAAAATGTGTTTTTTTATATAGAATTTCTACATTTTTGGTTCTCGTTTCTAGCCAATTGATATTTTAAGCGACCAATTTCATTAGTTCAACTATTTTTTGGCCCCAAGCAGAGTTGCCTTAGACCTTGGTAATAATAAAATGGTACCTTTTCTGCCTTTCCCAACGATGGCCGATGAGCTGCCTTCTCCTAATATTCTATTATTCTCTTGTTTATGACTTGACTTTAAAGGCTGGCCCCCACTCGACCGAAAGATGCCAGAGGATCAGGATGTTGAGCAGGAACAGGAAGAGGATGGGCAAATAAATTGGTTTCTGGTATAAAGGCATAAAACCATTAGAGATGCCAGCCCTACAGCCCACACAGGAAGGGTGCCACAGCCAGGCTCACAGCCTCAATTTGAATATGTGCGAATATTTATGTATACATACTCGCAGTACCTTCGTCTGAAAACATTTCATAACCCTTAACCATAAAAAGCAACGACAATTTCGTCCTTTACCTGCAGTCGTCGTCAGGGGAGATCAAAGGGTTTTCGCCATTGTCCTCGACGCCGTCAAGTCACATGAAAGTTTATGAATTCAGGCTTAAAGTGTGATTCTAATTAAGCGACGGCAATGACCTAAAAGCGAAACATCATTTGATATAGTTTTGGATTGTTTTGGATTAGATTGGGAATTAATTCGCGAGCTCAACGAGGTAAAGCACTTCATATTGTGACTATTTTTTGACCATTTTTGAGATCGATTTGACAAAAGTTATAATGCCTAGCGGCTAACTCAAGACTAAGACTTTAAAACCAAACTCTTTAAAGACTTTAAAATATGTAAAATATTTCTTAAAGATTCATGTAGACATTTCTGAACACTATAAAGTCATTTTTCTTTTGTGAAAAGTAAAATGATTGCGGGCAATCAAGTGGGACGAGGAAAGGGCCGTAAAAAGAACGTAAAACACTGGCTGCTAAAATATGTAAGAAACCGCAGCAGAAACAACAACAACTGCCAGCCAAATGGGTTAACACTCAGTTTTGCAACAAACCGTGTTTCGTGGAGGAGCATTCGGCGTTCCTGCGCTTTTTATCATCTTTTCTGGCCCGCCCAAAAGTCCCGCCGTCTTGGCCACAATTGGCATGTCGGTGTGCGGTTGCAGGATGTAGACCATAGCCTGTGGCATGTAGCCGGCGGCAGCCATGTGGGCCACCAAAATGCGGTAAAAAGATTACCCAAAAAGCGAGCGTGCTGCAAGACGTCGAAACGAGCAACGATGAGGTAACAACCGCTGGTGGCTTGGAAACGACTTTGCCATGCAAACCAAAATGTTATCATTCAGTTTCATTGTGGTGCTCCACGGCAAGTGGAGAACTTTAAGACTGGATAGCTCCTGGGGTAATTTCCATTTGAATCAGAGAAATGGAGAAATCTCATCAGTTAGCTTAAAAGGATTCACCTTAAATTTAGTTGTTAGTTTTTGAAGTCAAAGCTTGGGTTAGGTTTTAGAACTTTTCGGAAGAAAATGCTTAGAACAGGGGTGGTCAGAATTTGTTTTGTGGCCGAGCATTTACTAACACAAAAACCAGAAATCGTGCACATATTAAGTGACGCCTTTGTTTTGGTTTGCAGTTGTGCACTGAGAAAAAAAAACACTTTTTTTGATACTACGATGGTCCTCTGCGAAATAAACTCGAAAGCGCAAACATAAGTTATACAGAATGAATTCCAGTGCAAGTGTTCGATGATGGAAAGGAAGGAAAAAACAAGAACAAAATATATTACAGTTGGCGACGAAATGAGGCGGAAAGAAGAAAACGAAAAATTGTTAGTGGAATAGCAAGGATTTTGAGGGACGATCGAGGAAGAAACAAGAACAAATTATACTGCAGTTGGCGACGGAATGAGGTAAAAGAGGAAAACGAAAAATTGTAAGTTGGGCGAGGAAGCTCATAGGCGTTGAGGCACCCCTGCTTTAGAATAAACATATTTTGGTCTTCTATACCTAGCTCATAATCTATTTAATACCTAAAAGTTAATCAAATAATTGTAATTGATTTGTTTGTTATTGGCAATCGTATTAACCCAAAGATATGCGTCAATAAAATGCCATTCATCTGATAATCTGGTGGGCCAAAGAGGGCATTTTAAAGGCAAACTCGAATGATTTTCACTTCACAGTTCAATGAACTGGGCATAGTTCGATTGCTGGAGAAGGGAAACTTGAGGTTTCCGAAGCGACAAAATAGGAAAAGCGTTTGCCCGAGACACTTCAAGTGTAAATTTGATGGCCTCGAGGCGTTCGTATAACTGCAATCAATGATAAATCTACACGCAACAATGCGAATGGGAAAGTGTAAATATATATATATATATATATAGGCCAAGCTGTATAAATCTATATAAAGAACATGTGTGAGTGGTGCTGTGGCCCTCCAATTTTATCGCTTTCGTTACTGGAAATCAATTGAATTGAAGCGTTCCACAAAGGCGAATCGAATGGATACGTTTGTCGGGGCAATCTCGGAAGACGGATATCGGAAGTGAATGCTCCGGTTGTTCGGTGCCAGCAAACACCCTACAATGGTGGTCATTAGAACGCCTTAAAGCAGAACATATATAGTATATATATATATATCCGAACAATGTCTGGGGATTTTGCTTTCCATTCCCACTCAGTCAGATTATCGCTCGGCTGACAAATTGCCGGCCAGACAACGACTTCTGATGCCGCCAAATCCCCTCTGGAGCAGACTTTAATTCTCAATGAAGTCCAAGTGAAATAAAAAAGAGAAGAAGAAGAATGAAAACCCTGAAAACCCAGAAACATAAAAGCGAAAATGTATTTCAATCTATTTGGCGCAGTCTATAGGTGGCGACTGCTGGCCAGAAAAGATTTATGGCCCGCTCTCGTTAAACGCTCTGTCAGGAGACAACAAACAAAAGGGCTTTAACCGATGGCAGGGATATGGATATTTTAACTGAAAAGGGGTGAAAGCAACAGCTGAATTATTCAGCCGATTTCGAAATGGAAATTTAAACTGCAGTTGTAGGTTGAAATCAATACACTTCGATTTCGATGTTTTCGAATTATGGGAAACAAATTGCCACTTTCTACAGGGTTTCAAGTCTGAAAGTCGACTAATTTTACATTTATTTATAAAATATCTATTGAAAATATATAAAGTTTACAGAAATAATAATAATAAAACCAACTAACCAAGCACTTTATATAGCAGTTACCGAGAGACAGGGTTGGCATTTTCCGAACACGAAATCTCACGAATAATGTGTATGTGACAGGAATATAAATTCATATTACAGCAAATGTGTGTACAAATTCAGCCAGAACCACGCCCATTTTGGCCTGAGGGTCGGAAGTATAACGAGCTGCCCCCCTTTCACATCCCTTCCCAAAAAAGAGGAGACTCTAATGTGACATTTATAAGTGCCGGGCGACGGATGGGCGACGTTGCATGTGCCACACTGACGAGCAAAGTGCATTTTTCATCATTCTCCCAGAAGGGCCAAACTACTTGCACAACTATTTTTGAGATACTCATATCATGTTCTTGCTTTGGCACTTGAGTATGCCAAATTTGCGACATACTTTTAAAGTTCTTTGAAGGCGGGGCTAAGATGGAAAGACTTCAGGAATATTAGGTTCAGCCCAGGCAATATGAATTAAGTTTGATAAGTTTAAGTTCTGAATTAGCAATTTTAGCAACTGAAGTTGTTACTTCGAAGTGTATTTCACTAGCTCGTCTTTGTAGTCGTCACAATCTGTTCGGTTGTCCAAAACGAACTGTTCTTTATTTCTCTTTCTTATTCTGTCCTAGCATAAATTATACATGGATTGGTATCGTGCGAATAGGACACACATACTCTATGTTAGCATGATCTTTAAGTAAACGAAAGGGAGGGGAATACATTGTGCTTACTGTTTGTCACTTATGCTAGTGTGACCGCCTGCTACAAATGCTTAAATCACTCAATTAAAACTCTGTTTAAATGAGATTTATTATCTAATAATTATCACTCTTTTTTTGTATGCTTAGCCAAGATAAATATAAACTAGCTTAACTAACTTTATCTACTACCAAGACTATATCACTACCTTCTTTAAGTCTAATAGCATCATTTAGAATCTTTGTATTTACATTACCAGCTGCGATTCTTAGAAGTTTCAGTTTGTTACACCTCGCAATGACTGCCAATAAGGAATGGGATATATCCAGTGGGGAAAACATCGAGATACACACCTCCTCCAGATTCGCTAGACTGCCCAGCATTTCCACATAATCCGTCGTTGAAAAGAAGCCCTTGAAGTACCTTAAGCTCTGGATTCGTACTAACTGAGAGGTCTCCTGCAGAGTAAGACTTCCGCCATCGATGGACAGGTGCGTCAACTGTGATTTGGCCGCCAAAGCTGAGAGAAGTGGCTCAAAGGAGCCGCTCCTACGAATCCCAAAGTAAGAGAGTTCCCTAAGCTTGGGAAGCCTGGCCAACGGCAAGTAATCCGAAGAATTCGAAGACATACCAAACTTAAGGACCTCCAGATTCTTGCAGTGGGGCACTATGTCACCCAGGTTTTTCTGAATACAGGCATAGCCAATATGAAGGCTACCAAGCTTTCCATTGGATTTACAGGTTTTCACCAGAGTTGCAAGTGGAATTTTTGGTACAAGGATCTGAAGGTTTTCAAGATGCTGAAGCTGACTTAGACGTTCCAAGCTGCAGTCTAATAAATAAGGCAGAAATTTATCACTTCTGTTAGATTTCAAGATTCTTTTGCTTACCATCTCTAGCATGCAGTTTCAAACTTCTTAGACTCGGCAAATATCTAACAGCTGTCAGAATTCGATCGAAGGGCTTCTCAATGGGTGTGATCAGCATGGACAGCTGCTTCACTACCAACTGCTGCAACCCAACCATTCCGAGCAAAGTCTGACAGAGAACTTCAAAACAGTTTTTTGGAGCTATGCATCCATAGTTTCGAAAGCATCTGGCCGTATCAAAATGATCCAGATCGATGGTTAAAGACTCAACCGCCTCCCGACAGATGCAAAATTTGATAAGCTCCAGTCTCGTACAGTAACTTTCGAGGATATATTCGCGGAATTTACCACACCATTTAGTTATTAAAAGCTGTCGAAATCTTTGGCATACTTGGGCAAAACTAATGCTGTCTTCAGTGGGCAAATATTCCAATATATAGTAGAGGCAATCCTCATTGAGATCTTCCATATTTGCGGAATTAATTTCAGAAGCGTTCGAAACAAAACTGAAATTGAAATCCCCATTCTAATCGAAGGCAGGCTAAAGACACGTCGACACTTTGTTATGAGTAATTTAATGTTATTTTCGCTCAGAACAGATACGTTTTCGTCAGCAATTGAATGGCAAACCAGTTTATTTGGTGCTGACCTAGGCCAACGTGTGCAATGTAAATGGGATTTAAAGCTGCGTCAGCTGATTCGAAAGTAAAGAGCTTTTTCTTTATTTGCGTCATTAAGATTTTAGCTAGAAAAAGCTTTATAAAGAAGATAATTATACTCTTTAATCGTCATGTTAATAGGAATACTTGTTGGACTTGTCCTTTTGTCCTATTTTCTGTATAGCAGCTATAATCTCAGGAACTTTGTGTGGTCAAAAGTTGAGGTAAAACATGCAAATTCTATCTATAGCTTTATTCTTGCTTTTAGTTTTCTTTATTATTAATCAGAATCATTACAGAAACCACATGCCATTTATTTTAACACTTAAATACCAACAGATAATGAAAAAATAATATCTTTAACATTTATGGCCTTAGGAATTTCGACATTCTCTGATCTCCGGCTCCGAAATGAGTGCTTTTCGCCTGATTAGGAAAGTTCTTTCGTTTCTTTGGCATGGTCTTTGCACTGTTTGACACTTTCACTGGCAAATTTTTAGCCATGGCCTTCGAAGTTGGAGCAGGATGAAACCGTTGACAGTCATCCTTGGCTGGTTGGATTGCTAGGATTTGGGGTCTAGAACTTAGACAAGAACCCTGCAGCAGTTCCGCGGCAGTGACACGTTTCATGGCTATGTAGTGACCGCAAATTTGTGGCAAAAATATCTCCGATTCGAGGACCTCACATTCCACCAGCACCACATTGACATTAGAGATTAGTTTGAGAGAAAATTGTTGGCATTTGGGACCATCATCTGCGGGACTGGTGAAAGAACCTCCATTGATAGACGGGGTCCAGGGCGCTAGACCAGCCGTTGCCGTTGTCGCTCGCTGCTTAATATATGGACGCTGAATGATCCGGCCTTGATCTTGACCCTGGCTTGACTCCTCGTTACCTTCCAGTTCCCAATTTGGCCTACGATTTTGTATAACATTTCTCAGCACAATGCAATTGTTGCAGACATGAGGCAGAAAGATCTCAGATTCGTGACCAGGAGCCGCCACGAGAACAACATTTTTGTCAGACAGCAGTTGAATGTGAAAGCTTGCCATGGCAAATAATATTTTAAAATCATACGAAAAATTTAGATAACTATTTTAAGTTGTTTATATTTATTACTTTGATTACTTTTTCTAGGAAATAATTAGGCCCTAAAGTGAAAAACTTTCAAAATACTTTTGCTATATTTGAGTCAAAGTTTAACCATCCTTTCAAGGTTTTCCTTAAAACATTTCTATAGCATGATTATTACTCCTTAAGATCCATTTAGTTCTATATACTGATAATAAACAAAGAACTATTGACCAGTTGTGGGCACGCCCAAACTATTATAAAAAGCTTATAATTGAATTTTTTACAAAGTGCTGTGCTGGTTAAACGACTTACCTTTAGCAAAGTGGCCATGCCTTCGGACACATCGTGGCTAGCCATTTTTTTGGTCATAAAATACGAGTACCAGCCACTGAAGGAGCTGGAACCTTTAATAGTTGGGACCATAAATTCGCTAGCCCTGTTCCGCAATTACGGGGCTATTGGTTTCTGGTACATCGCTGATAGCTGGCTCGAAGTCCTTGCCTTTGTCTTGTCTTTTTATTGGCGACTTTCAGGAAAGTTGACGCAAATTGGTAGCATTAAATTGGTCGGGCTAAATGGAAGGAAATGGTTAAATTGATCCCTTTACTACACTGAATAGCCGGTGCGGTACATCAGCGATGTTGGCTTCATTATATTCACTATTAAAGATTGATTTCAGGCTGTAGGAATTTTTGATTTCATGTTCTTGATGAGCTCGTTAGCAGATTGGTTTTCTGGTGTCTGACATTTTTGTTGATTTTTACTCATGCCCAAAAGGATTGATGTAAGTTAGTGCTTCAATGATCTGTCAGCGCTTGTCCTGTGTCCAAAAATGTGTGTAATTTAATCAGACGGAGGCCCCTGAAAATAAAGTAGGTCTAATGTGCGAAAAAGATGACAGGCAATGTGTTTGGTAGTCCCAGCCGCAGGCCAGGACCTCTGATATTGTATTATGTTTTATCCTTTTTATATCTGCTTCTGTGTGTTGTCTTTGCTGTTGGCCAAATGAGACGACGACGCAACGACGACGACGAAGACGACATTTGCATAAGTAAGAAAGTGTGAAAGTGGCACTGGGTGGTGGGTATCCTTGGATATTCCTGAGAGTGCCTTTGCCTTCTCGAGAGCTGCTTTTTGCGCTTTTTGACAAATGACTTAAAGCCTTTTGGGGCAACCAACGGGCTATGAAAAGGGTTCAAGTAATTTGTTGAGACTCTTGAATATTGAATGCGAATGTGGACCACGTGCAGGCCCACAGCCGTATAAAAATGAAATATCTTCCTCTGCGAGGCAGCAAATAAACAAACAAACAAGAAAAGTGAAAGGAAAAGCCTTTAGCCACCATGACACAAAATGCTTTATGTAATTTTTGCCATTTCGTAGGGTCCCATCAACATTTCATATCACATTAACCATCCAATGTCCTTGCGCTGGGTAAAAGCTTAATATGAAGTTAAGAAACCAACTTAAATAGTTTTTATTTTCTTAATTAAAATATGAAATAGGAAACTTGGTTTCTCCTTATCTTATCTTTTATGAATGCGAAAAGTACAGATGGTCAGAAACCGCTTAACCCGAATGAAGGCACATCTGTCTTTCATGTGCGTGATGAAAATCTCCGAAATATGAGTTCAGATTGGCTTACTCGTAATGCTTGTGCCCGGTTACATTTCGGTTTTTATTGCACCAACCAACTGGCAAGGATGTCCGCTTAAGAAAGTGATGGAGGAGGGGAGGTGGGCCCTTAATCCGGAAACTTATTTATGTATGCCTTTCCGGTCGTTTCCTTGCCCCAACGCATTTCTCGCATGTGTAAGTTCCGTTTATTGTCACACAGACAATCGCACAAACAAGCGTGTGTGTGTGTTTGGCTGTCTGGTGGATTGGTGGGTGGCTGGCTGGCTGACTGGCTGACTGGCTAGTGGGCTAAAGTGCTTGCCATTCTTATGACACGCCCGCGCGCACACTTTCACTTTACATAAGCCCGGTGGCCGGGGGGTCCTTTGGCAGGACCAAAGCCGACGTGTGTGTGTGTGTGTGCTTCTGTGCTTGTGTTGACAACACTTGATAATTCCTTGCATACACGCACTTTGACTGCAAGACACACTATTATCCATTGCCATCTCGCATACACATGTATCCACAAGATACTCGTACTTTACTCCCATTCTGCCCTTGGGCATCTGGAGTTTTCTTGTCTGCGGCTTTGAATTATTTAAAATTGTTTAGCCAGCTTCAAATATGATGCTATATATATATTATATATATTCATAGGCAGTCGCTCGATGCGAAATATAATATTTGTCCTGGTCCATAAATTTTGATTTACAATATGGCCCGCGGGCTGTCGTTTAGCTTTTAATCGTGCTCTGGGTTAAGTACGTCAAGTTTATTGAGCCATTGGAGACATTTCATCCTGCGGATGTTATCGTTCAGAATGAAAACCCCCTTAAAATATATAGAATTTCCCATCAGGAACATGCATTTTCATCTCAGCAATGATATTGAATTGTCGATTGGTTTGGTTTTCCTTTTTTAAGTTGGTGTTTTGACCCCATGCTGGGTTAATTTAATTAACGTTCAACGCAAAGAAATTACTTGCTGCTTCTCGATGAAAAGTTTTACAGCTGCGGCTGGCGGAGACCTTCGCGGAAAAGCCAAGGAGAAAGGAAAATGCCTGGCAGTCAGGCCATAGATCAAAGCACGCCTGCTGAGCACGGCTTTTCCGCTCTTTCCTTCTTGTATTTGTATTTGGTTGGTTGCTTGCTTGCTTGCTTGCTATACTCCTATATGTATATGTCAGCAGGTGTGTGTGTGCGTGTGTGCGTATGCTGAGCCTTCTCTGTGTTATATGTATAAAGTAGGTCAGTAGTAGTGCCGTGCCAATAAAAGTTAATGCTTCCAGGTGAGAGCCTGAGCGTGTGTGTGGGATGCGTGTGTCCTCCTGGCCTGTTGATATTTTTTAATATTTATAGAATTTTAAAATGCCCGTTAAGTGTAGATATTAAACATTTAAATTCGGAAAAACCGTTGTTATGGCTTTTCCAGAACGCTTTAAGTGACTTTTGTTGAAAACTCTTTATTGCTAGAATTTCTTCTAGTGTTTTTTGCTTTCTTTCTTTTCTTTATTTTATTAGCTGTCTATTTAAACTTATCGATTACATTTTCTTTCTATATACACTTATTTCCTCATCTGACAAACTTTTCTTATAATTTTTATAAGATTATTTTTAGTTTTTCTCACTTTTTACTGTCGTTGAACTGTTAATGTTAGAAAACTGAAGTTCTGGTACTCAATGATTATTGCCTTTTTAGGTTTTTACAATATTTGGACATAAAAGAAGAAATCAGTGTTCAGGATTCCTTGTCTGGTCAAGATCTACATACTCCAATGTTTCTATTCTGGGTGATATTAAACCCTGTCAGCTGAAGTTACTAAGACTTATAACAAAAAGCGTAAGAACTATAAATATTAATGCTGATGATCTTATTAGTTCCTCTAGTTATACTTACACAGCTGTGTTTCTGTAATTTTAATAAAAGCATGTCAAGTCTACAGCCCTTCAAGAGAGTGCAGAAGCATCGTCAACCTATAACTAACTTATTACTAAGGACATAGCGCCATTTGCCTAGTTTAAGGCAGCTGCAAATATTAGTGCCATGTAAGTTTGAGAAATTATTAAAAATTTGAAATTAATAACAAAAAAATCTTTTAAAAAAACCAGTCAACATTGGCCAACTTCACCGACTTGAAAGTATTCTACAGATAAGAAAATTCCACTAAACTAAAAACCGCTCATCTCTATGGCCAAGTGAGCAGTTGCAATCTTTAGGATATAGTAATCAAACTATTGATTGTTAAATATATATTTTTTAATTTATCAAATATCTGCTAAGAAGCGGCTTCTACTCAAGGCGGGGGCATAGCCTACTTTTTCATAAATTCAAATTGTTCGCTTAAAAGAAAATTGTTTATTTATATTTTACCCAAACCATGAATAATGAAAGCACCTGCGGGGTTCGAGGCCGAAAAAAAGTTGAAAGTAAAAAGCGTTTTCGGGGATGGTGGTGGAGTGGCATTTCCAATTATGCGAAACTCCGAACTGTTAATGAAATGTGTCAGAAACAATTTGGTATAATTTTTCATTTAAAGCGAAAAACAATTTATAATTAGAAAAGGCTCTTAGAGAGTAAGAAAACAAGGACGAAAGCGACACCTGTTGTGCAATCGGGAAACTCGCAGACTTTTCTCTTATTTAGTTCTTTTTTCTTCTTCTGTTTTTTTGAATGACAGTAAGCAGGACAAACAAACACTGATTGCGGATTGACAGGAAGAGAACTAACGGAAACGGAAGTAACTCAAGTGTGACGGAAGTGGAAAGTTGGCGGCTAACAGGAAGCGGCCAATGTGTTGTTGAGAAAAATGATTGTTTCTATTTCAGATTTTGCTGTCTGTGCTAGGTAAACTTTTTTAAACTTATTCTAAAAATATACTAAAGCAGCAATATAAAAATAGAATTAAAAATAAAGAAGTATCATTTGAGAAATACTTTCAGTTACTCTTCAAACCCCGTTGAATGCCAAATCGTTTTAACATTAATTAACTTGTTATACAACTGTTTGGAAATTGATTGCCTTGTTCCTGCCGTTTGAGAACTTGAGAAAGTAATTGCATTGCTTGACAAAGGCCCGAAAACAGAACCCTTGTGACCTTTACACTGTTCACAGTCTTAACTTACATACACATTGCCCTCGAGCCAGAAGTCTGAAAGTTTTTGGCAAAATCCCTTGGCTTGTTGACACTTGAACTAACCTGACATGGTGCAATGCTCTAGCCGACTATTTCGTAATTGGATATTTCGAAACATTTTAAAATGTCGTGCGAATTTCCGTTGCCGAAGATGCTGAAGTTGGTGAAGTGTTTCAATTAAAACTTGCTCAACTTGTTGACATTTATCGAACACAAAGCCATCAGTGTCACATCCGGATCTGACTACGGTTCTTTTTGTCTAGCTAAACGCTCGCAACCCCACATCCTGTCCGCCCTTCATATCCTAGGGGTCTCCTCAACATGATGGTAGTTCTTAATGTCATTGTTGAAGGGTTCATAGCTCCTAGCTGGTAGCTGGTAGCTGGTAGCAGACATCTCAGTGCAGTTTATATGATATTTTCCAAGGAAGTGCATTTGCCAAAGGACATTTCTCGGCAATAACCAGAAACAGAGCTCTGCAATCAATGGTTGACTGGCTTTTGGGGAGTTGGTGGTTGGCAAAATCAAGTTAAAAGTCATTTCATTTATATCGAAAGTTGAGTTCTCTTGTCACAAATAGTTTGCTGGCTGTCGGTTTATTGACTTGTTAAAAAATAGTTTAAAAAACAAAATCAAACTAAATTAAATCAAACTACCTAGCATGGCTTTCGTGTATCTCATTTATCTCTGATTTAAATTCTATTCTATAAAAAAAACACACATTTAATATGCTTTTTAAGTGCTTGCCTTTTTTTTTTTGCTGCTTTAATTACTTTTCTATTTATTAATTTTTTACATTTAGAAAACTATTTTAGGCTAGAAAAAAAAAGAGATTTTTCTATTTAAAAAGCCATTTATTTGAACATTAATGACTGCGAACAGGTAGAAATAAATTAATGTTTGCCTCTCATTAACTCAATGGCTTTTGTCCATCGATGCATTTAACAGATGTTCTACGATTAATTGACCTATTTCGAGAGGGAAAGAAATTAATTTCCCATTGCCTTTAAGCCATCAACAATGCATGGATTAATGTCACAGACCTGAAACCTGAAATTTATGTAACAAGAAATATATTTGACAGACTTGTGACGGCGAATCTCTCTTAGGGACCTGAGATTTTGTCACACGCGTGCAAAGTGATTGCGTTTTGTTGCCATCAAAATAAGCATAAATAATCCAATTAATTGACAACGGCGACACGAGGCATCCTTTTGGGACCTCGAGTAATTGGTTTAAGGCTTGGGGCCACTCCACTACCTGAAAGTGCCGGTTTGAAGTTTCAGTTTCGGCGCAGATTCAGGTGTATTTGATGGGAAGCTCTTACAGCTCTCTTACACCTTTACCCTTGAAACCCGCACAAAATGGCTAATTGGTTGCACAGAAAGGTAGGTAATTGGCAGGGTGAGTAACGGGGCGGTCCAATCGGACCCGCGGCGAACAGTTTAATTGAATCTGCCCGGAAGGGTTCTTTCTAATAAATAAACCGTCGCCAGGGAGAATGAAATGTAGAACTTCCCATCAATGGCTAAAATGTATCTCATGAATTTCAAATATTCGAACTACAAGGGACTAATATTGACCCAAATTATTGTTTCTGCTGTTGTTTTTCTTTGTAACAACTTTTTAAGCCATGAAGTAAATAAGCCCTCTGGCTATTTTAATCAGCACAAAGTTAACATTTCTATATAAAAAAACTCATCGTTTGTAAGCTTAAATACATGTCCTCAGTATTATCAGAATACTTTGCCATTTTTTCGTTAACCAATTTTTTGTTCGCTTTTACAAATTTCAATAATTAAAACGGAATGAAGTTCACTTTGCGACTTTAACGGATGAATTGATGGGCAAAGTCAGCGAACCGATAAATTCGAGTTCATAATTCTTCGCCATGCATTTTGTAATTAAGTGCACAAATATTTATGCCTGGCTTGAGGGTTGATATTTTTTCGCATTAAATGCATAATTAGCGCTGCTCTTTTTTCTCCCCAATGATGTAGTTTAATAAACTTTCGACGTATGCCTTAAATAAATAGCAGAAAATGCGTTGACCTCTCTGGCTAGCCTTGATTAAAATAAATGTGAGCCATAAAAGGCAAAAATATTCGAATGCATTTTATAGGCCATGCCTGGCCTGGACTTTAAACTGCGCTTTTTTTTCTTTCTGCATCAATATAAATATATTCCTGAATTTTCGTTTTTTGTCTTTTTGTTGTTTTCCCACCACTCTTAACGCTGTGTGTGAATGGAAAACCCGCACCCGAAATGTGAGAATTCATTCAATTGCAATTGCAAATTTGTGTCACTGAACTGTGAAACAATAAAGATTATCCGGGGCCGGAGATGAGAATGCGATGTATGACCGGGTTTCGGTTACCAATTTGAATATCACTTGGCCTGACTTTCGAGGCAAGAAAAGCGAAAAGGATTTATCATCTGACAGCTTAAGAGTATATATATCTGACTAATGAGAACGAATTTAAAACCGATACGTTTGTATATTTAATGATAGACCTGAATTAATGGCAAATGTAGATGCCACAAGGATCTGGTTTCACGGATGAGTGCGTCTGTGCATCCGTTGACATTCTGTCTGATTAAGAGTAGATGGCAAGTGACCAGGCACTGATTGGAAAGTTCTTTGTGTTTTCTGGACCATTGTTTGCCTTTGGCTCAGTGATCAATGCTCGGAAGCCGGGCATTAGGATGGCCTTTCGATTGGCCAAGTCGTGTCTGGGAATGGCTATTTGCATGGCACTCAACTACTTTGCTCCCGATTTGCTAGCATTCTCTCTCTCTCTCTCTATATATATATTTAATTAGCAGCAGTCTCAACAAAATTGCCCGACAGCTGACAAATTATGCCAATGTGGTGGCATAGTCTGTCCCAGTGTCCCTGTAATAGGACGACATGACGACATTACGACAGGACTCGGGCACTAATGCACTCGTCCTAAATAATTTAACATTCTTTGTCTCTTTCCAGCGATGGCTCTCTCTCTCTCTCTGGCATGTGTGTGTGTGTGTGTTTCAACGAGTTTTCAGTGCGTAAATAAAACAGAAGTTCTGCTCGATGCTTAGTTTGCACACGATGCGTATACGCAATTTACAATGCATTCGAGAAGTGCCCCCAGGCACTTTCAACACCGCAACACACACACACACACACACCAAGAGTGCCAGCTGTTGTCTATTAAACGTCAATTCCAATTTCTAACTGGCTTAAAAATTTGCAATTGCTATTGCAATCGTAAAACCTTGCCAATCAGGGTATAGAAAATCCCCTTCAATTCCACAAATATTTTCCCAATTCGATTTCTCTACTTGCTCATTTCATTTTGATTTTGGGCAAATAGCCAACAATCTAACACGCCATTTCCCAAAAGTCATTATTTAATTATAATTTAAGCCGCAGAGCAGCTGAAATTCCGCTCAATTGCATTTCCCCCGAAAATAAACACCTGTCATTCGGTTGGGTGGTGAAAGTGCAGCTTCTCGGCAAGTACAAGCCAGAATCTTGTTGATTTTAATCAAAATGCAAACTTACTTGTAAAGTAAATACTTGTCTTTTTCCGGTGTGACAGGAAAATGCCTGCCAGTGTAGGAGGTACTCGTATATATGTTTAATTTATTTAATTTCATCCAGGCATGTAGGCCAGGCAGGTGCAAATTGAATTTATTTAATTGCCGACTAAGTTCGTTATCAACCAAAATTTATGGCACTTACAAGTTGCTTACACAAAGGGATTGAAAAATGATTTATGAGCCTAAGTAAGCGTTTTAATAAAATCAAATAAAAATTCTCTACAAACTAATCAAAACAATGTTCGTTTTCAATGTATTTTACTGTCAGCTGCATGAGTTCAAAAGGTCTTGAGATTAGAAGAAGCTAAAAAGAAATATTTATGAATAGAATTTAATGAGTTTTCCCATTGCTCGAAAACATACCTGTTTGTTACTTAAGTTTGGAGAGATACACATCTGAAATTAAGGAAATAATTAGGGTTTTTTTTTTCTTATAAGATTGTTTACATACAGGGTGGCCCATGTAGCGTTTGCTTTTTGAACTATTAATAATTTTGACTTTCATATTTCCAATTTCATTGTCAATGTGTCAGATATTTAGTACAAGAGTTGGGATATATAGATATTTTTATAGAGATAACGCAAATCTTTCGTGGGCCACCCTTAGCTTACCTGTGGTACTGATCTGTTAGGAATGCATTTCAAGCCTATGGTCATATCCAAGTCCTCCTGCATATCTGCATCTCTGTTCATCAAAACCATAGTTTGAATTCCATCTAAATATTTCTTGGTAATTTCATTGACAGGAACATTCACTGCCAACGAACTCAGCTTACGACAGCTCTTTAGCAATGGTCCCAGGCATTTCGGATAGGAAACATAACTGGGACGGTGCTGGGAAAATATCTCAATATCTTCCAAGTATTCTAGCTTAGCCAGAGGCTTAATATATATCAATTTCTGAAATCCGCATGAGATTTTCCTCAAAAACTTCAGGCTGGCCAAAGCTTCGGCAGCGGATTTATTGAGGTATTTGTCATCATCAACTTCAAATAACGTATATGGTGTGCTGATATAAATCTCATTCAGGGTGTTCAAGTTCAGAGCAACGAGATAGTAAAAGAGCTGGGGAGTCGGCATGTTTATACATAGAAACGTAAACGATTTCAGATTTTTCACCAAAGGTAGTGGCAGTTCATCATATGCATAGTCATGGCTATACAAAATTTGCAAGTTACGCGTTTCCCGATCCAGGTCCATGGTGCAAGCATTACTTTTGATCTTCACACCCAGCTCCAAGAACAGATGTAATGTCGTTTCCATTGACACGATCATTTCATTGGACAGACCCAGACTTTTAAGGCCTTCGAATTTCAAAAAAGGTTCAAAGCTAACCGAACGATACATTTCGGGATCCCTAGTGGAAATATCCAGGGTTCCCTTGGCAGTGAAGAGCATTTCGGAATCAAAACTGGAAACTTTGACGTGTTTTCTTAGTAATTCTGCAATGGCATCGGTTACTAGGTGACCGTTATTACGAATGGTCAATCGATTCAGTGTTTGGTTGTCCAAGAGGTGTCTAATGCTCTTGGGATCGCAAAATCCGCACTCCAATGTCCTAAGACCTTTGATTTTCGTAATAACCTCTGCCATTTCATCATCAATATCAAACTTAAGGCACAATCGCATGAGTTTTGATTTTGGTTTTTCACCAAGAGCCCTGAGAAGCTGAAGGATGGGCGTATTTTTCTCAGAACTTGAGTCTCCTCCAACAACCGACTCGTATTCTGAGTCCATTTTGGATCTTTTCGGTTGATAGTCCACATCCATTTCCATTGGCTGTGGTGTATCATGGAAAAGGAAAAGTTCTTTCTCTGGCTTGACAATCTCCAATTGCTGTAGCTTATCCAAAAGTGCCAGTCCGACATAGATATTATCTCTGGCAAATTCATTATGTAATATATCCGATTGCATGAACTTCAGCTGCTTCAAGTTGGGGCAATGACGAACGATTTGGGTTAGCTTGCCGTGGTCGGTGAACCGATTAACATTCACTTCCAAGGAGGTTAGTGTGGGATTGTTAGAGCAGAACTCTTCCAGGTCAAACATATTGAAATTTCCCTTTAGCCTCAGCTTAGAAATATTCCGAAAGAACTGAAGGCCGTTTATAAAATGATTATCTGCAATACAGGAAATACTTTAGTGGGAAATATAATATATAATCGTAGGAATTTGCCTGATATATCCATAATGACCTCCTTGAATTTGGGCTTCTTATCTGGATCCAGCATAACGCGGCTACCCCTGCCCTGCAGTCCCATCATAATTTCATCGAATATTCTATTAAATTCCGCATTGTACTCCTTGGTGTCATAGCTCAGCTCAACGGTCTTAAGCATGGGATTCTCCATCAGTGCCTTTATATATATGTCCATGTAATGGTCTTTATTTTTGTCAGTGGCTCTCTTTAAGGCTTTTAGAATTTCAATAAACTTGACTGTTATCTTTTTGTGGCCGTTTACATGCAGAAGATTGATCTCTAAGCGGTCGTACATTAGTCTCGACCAGTCCCAAACCACACGTCGAAATCTCTTGCAGGTGGCAGCAAAATTAAAGATATCAGCATACTTGATGGGGGCCACAGTTTCCTTGCTATTCGCCATTTCACAGTTCTGCATCATTAGGTCCAGTATGTGGAATAATTCATAATGTGTAAGATCTGTTATAGTCTTTGAACTCCCCATTTAAGCGTAATATTTATTTTTGAAAAATTCCAAACGATCGAAGAAAAGACACGTCAAATTCGCGTTGGTTTTGTAGATGTACTGAGTTTTAGCTCTCAGAGAGTTGCAATTGCAATCGCATGGGAATGCACTTAAATAAGATTTCCCTTTATTTTTTGGGGTAGCTTCGGCTTGCCATATGCTAAGTGTGACTTTATAAGATAGGTTGAGATATTCTGTTAGTTCATCATTATTAATCTTCATAAATTTCATTTCATAATTACTAAGTTTCTCCAAAGTTTCTTCCTTGATCTAAAACCTCATTAAGAGGTAATCTGTCTTCGAGCAATCTTTACTGACTGCATGCATATGTACATACATACATATATCTTGTAAAGCTTCACTGATAGCCTCATTAAACACAACAAGCAAACATTCAAGGCAACAAAAAGCTCTTTGATTACATATTAATATGCGGCCGGCGTACTCAAGTTAAGTCGGTTTTTTAATCAGAGGTTTTTCATTTTATGGTATAAATTAATAATAAAAATCTAAAGTAATGTTTAAAATGCCTAAATAACCAGTTCCTTATTAATCTACTATTTTAGATTGTATTTTTTATTATTTGTTCATACCTTGTAGGGTATTCAAAGGTCAGTATTGAAGTTCTTTGCAGTTTTCGCATAAATGGGCTTGCCAAAGCTTTGACAGAATTCGATGTAAACTCAATATTTTATCAAAACACAATAATTCGATTGCCAGAGTAGATGCTAAATCTATTTATACTAAAGTTAATTACAGTTTTTCAAGTTGACTAATCAATGACTAACGATTGCCTATCGAAATTAGTTACTGATGCCTTGGCCTTGGCAAAGTCTTCTACTAAATGAAATTAAAAACCAAAAAAAATCCCCTTGTTGGTTGTAAATAAAGTACAGCTCGTTATGCTGATGAACCGACGGACATCATTAGTTAAAAGTTGCGGCCATCGCTGGGATTTATGATCTCCGCGACGGAGTCTTTTGAATGAAAACTTAAAGCGCCGTTAAAGTTTAGTTTAAAGTAGTTGCCGCGGCCAAGTGAAACTGGCAGCTGCACTTAATTTGCAGTCAGCTCATTTGTTTTGCCAACCAGCCGTCCGTCCCACACCACCCCATCCAAAACCATTTCCACCGCAAGTCTCCGGGAAGCGTGCATTTTTCTCTGGATTTTCCCATTCCTTCTTCTTTTTTATCCCTTCTTTCCCCGTACTTCTTATATCTCTATCTTATGCTATGCGGTTAGCAGGGAAGGGAAACGTGGAAGAAAGAAAAAAAAGATGGAAAAACTTTAGAAGCCGTTACTTCTTGTTGCACCAACCCAGCCCTAGACAAATCCTTCCGTTTCGCCCTCCCCTGCCCCATAGTGTTGTTGTGGTGGGTGCGTGTAATCTACTCAAAGCAAATAAATTTTTAATGCTGACTAATGTAGAAAATGTGAGCAGAAATTTACCTGGAAAACTATAAGAGAAGGTGCCATCAACTTTCGCACTTTCGTACTACAGCCAACCGGCCTTATGCCTTAGTCCTTCGTCCTGCGTTAGTGCAATTTGCAACAGGATTCAACAAATTGAAAACGAAGCCCTGCCATGCCTGCATATTTATTTAAGGCTAAGAAATCATTTTGTAAACTTTCCTTTAGTTCATTTGTTAAGCAAACAGTTTAAGCAGACATTGTAGTTGACCTAATTTACGAATGTTCTACGAAAGTTGTCAACATTTTAAGGGCATCGATGGCACTTTTTGCAATTATGAAAGGCAATGAAAAAGCGCAACAAATTGGCGACAATGTTGAGTCATTAAAAATAATTTAAAACAAACGTCACGGCGAAAGTTTTGCACCAAAAAACTTGAAGACATTTTAAATGCGAAAATAACGTAGACAATGGCATGGTGCGAAAGAGGGGGAGTTGAAGTTGAAAATTGCAAGGCAGCAGCAGTCGCAGCAACAAATTGGCAAAATTCATAACGAGGAAAACAGCAGCATGGGCGTAGTAAGAGGAGTCGAAGGTCAGTTTTCCAAGAAAAAATGGAAGTATAGGAAATATCTTGATTGTTTTCTATTCCTGTACCTATTCCTTCTTTTCAGATTTTCAAAATATTTTTTAAGCTACGCCCATGAGAGAGCATAACCAGACGTACGCCACGAATGGCTCGAAATAGTAGCAAGTGACAACGAGCTAAGGACGGCCAAAGGATGCTGGCATTGCTCCTTTTTGCAGTTGTTTCTGTTTCTGTTTGCCGTTGTTTTAGTTGGTAATGAAAGCGACTGATGACCAGGGGCGCAGGGTTGGGTTGGCTCCTTCGGAAGCTGGCCAAACATTAACGAGCATCAGCGAAAAACTTGCAACTTGCAGACGCCTGCAACTGAATCAAGTTTTGCAGCAGGATGAGGGGGGAACACCCCAGCAGCATTGCATTGTTTGCTTCAAAATGCTTCGAGTAAATTATGCAGAATTGCTGTAGAACAGTCAAAGCCGAAGCAAAAGTTAAGCGCCCAACAAAATGGAATTTACATTGCCTTTCACAACTTGCTCGCCGATGTCTTTGTTGCCATTGTAAGTTGTTGTTGTTGTTGTTTTGTATTTGCTTTGGGTTTTTAATAAACTTAATAACTTTGCAATTTGTTGCTGCAATCAGTGCGCGTAGCCAGCTGTTCCCTTCAAATGCAAATGGCTTGGACACTCGCTTAGATTTTGCCCGCCAAGGCACCGCATGGCGTATACTTAATTTACAGGCGCATTATGCAGGCGGCACGTGGCAATTAATAAAACAAAATTCCTCAACAAAGATGAAAACTCATAAATTTCAAAGAAAAGGCAATGAAGTTTCCAAATTCCATTTAATTCACTTAAAAGGTTTTCTCCTTGTCCCGCAAAATTATCTCTGCGGGAAAGTTGGAAACGGTAGGCTCTTTAAAAATGCATGTCCAGTCCCATATCAACCGCCGAGTCGTGAATCGATCCTTTGGAAGAGCCCTGACGTCGCAGCAGCACGAAGCAGATGTTGTCATGGGGGCGGGTCATTGAATAAACAAACATCTGTGGCAAGTGAGGTTAGGACACAAATTGAATTTGCGCCCTAAAAGAGCATAACAAATAGACGACACGCATACGCCGTGTGGTACGCAAAGCCGCAAAACCCACATGCATGTCAGTGGATAACCAAGACACCGGACAGCGCAAAAAAAATCACTCACTCGCCCACTCATCCAATTGCTCACCTGCAGTGATGGGAGAAAAGTCAAGGTTGTCGTACCTTATCACACGCTTTGGTACGTATTTTTTGTGGTTTAAAAGAGATAACTTAAGGCATTGAATAAAAAATGTCAAATATTTTATAAACATATTTGAAAATTTAAGGTCTGCTTTAATGTGTATAAATATTTAAGGATAAATCGTCAGTAATAAAACTTAATCACATATTAGATTTCTAAGAGCATCTAAAAGTATGCAACGATTTCATTTCGTTCGATTATTCTTTTAGGGAAATTTAATAGAAAGTTTTAAAGGACATTTTTTTTAAAAGCTTTTTCAGATATCTCCCATTTTTTAGTTCTTCCCATAACTATCCCTCAAAAAGTACCTTTTCCATCACTACCCACCTGACCTGTTCCCATTCAGTGAGCCATGACGCTTAGATATTTTTGGCATGCGTGGCGAATGACAGGGAACAGCAAAAACAGGTCCGCAACAAGGACGCAGCTGGTGCTGCTGCCCCAATCCCGACTCCGAATGCTCACCCACATGGCTACATCATCATCATCATCATCGCCATAGCAATAGCGTCTGGATAATGGCTACCCCGGAGATGACAGTTAACAGTTGCCGAACTGGCCAGTACCAGGTAAATAAATCAAACAAAAATGGCGACTTTCGGCTACGTGACGAGTGAGCTGAAGTAGATGATAGAAGGCTATATATACGACGAAAGTCACGGAGGCTCAATAGCTTGACTGATTATCGTCCATCTAGTATATATATAGTGCCTATCCCAGTTGGATTTGGATGACCGAAAACTGTCGCAGCTCCAGCTTCAGTTCGAGTCGCTGAGATGTGCGTGACAGAAATGGCGGGGCAGAGAGACACACAGAAACAGAACCTCTGGCACGCACCCACTGTGCTGACAAATGCTTCCTGTAAGATGTCTGTCCATGTCCATCATTGGACTGAATAGACTGGGGGCCAGCAGAGGCGAACAGCTGGCCAATAGCAACAGTTAAGTCGATTTTGACACATGGAACCCGGGTTCGTTTGCCAGAAATCAATAATGTCTAGTGAAGGAGATTCGTCCTTTAGAAAGGCAGGAAATGTCAGGCGATGGCCTGATATGGTTCGACGGCGGCAAAGGGAATAATTTGTCATGTGAAAAGAAGTTATGGGAATGTTAGCAGTTATTTGACTTGCATGAATTGTGATAATTTGTTTATTGAATATTTTTTTGATTTTATTATTGCATGGAATTTGTTTGTAAACAGAGGACAGCGTGGAACCAACAGATCTCTGCTCTTTGTAAACCTTTTTTTTAACTTCATCACCTGAAAAGGCAATAAAATCACTTCAAGTTTTTTCAGGGCATTCAAGCGAATGTTGTAAAATAGAATGCCTCGCTGAATTTTTGAATGATTTATATTATTTATGACATTTGCCGACCTGTGGTGGTCCTCTTGTTTACGTGACCTCACCTGACCCACTGAACCTGCTGACCCCGAACGGCAACCCCTCCTCTGACTCCATGCGAGTGCCAAACAATTGAATATATTATGGAATATATATTGCGGCATATATTAGACTAGCATTGGATTGTGGTCCGTGGTCCATGGCCGCCATTGTTCGTACACGTACGTACGATGGACACTACGGTGCTGTTTGCTTTATGGTGATCACTCAATTTGAATTAATTTGGGGCTGTCATGCCAACCTTAAATTAGTTTGCAGCGATTTGCATAAACACAAGTGGAAACTTTGCGGGAGTCTCGGCATTTGACGTGATTTTGATTGGATTGCCGCTCAGCAGGACCATGTAATGCCGCTTAT